GGCTGGAAGGGAACGAGGACCAGAACCAGCCGCATAAAGGGCCAGGGCTGAGGTCTTGGAGGGAAGCAGCTGGGAAAAGCCAGGGAGGGTCTGGTCCCAGCCGGTGCTATAGAGGAAGAAAGGCCAGCTCCTCCCAGCTCGGTGCCTGCAAGCTGCCTCACCAGCCTCACCATCTGGAGTCTGAGGCGCTACCCCAGCAAGGCCCTGCTCCTAAGGAGGTGTTGAGAACTCCTGAGGTTCAGATAGGAAAGTGGGCCTCACATCACACAGCATAGCTCATTTCTCTTAACACTTGTGTCTTTCAGAGGAAGAAGCTTAAACCAGACTGATGTGGAACTGGAGTTTAATTCTACCAATCCCGGGAGGGTTGATGCCTAGGGGAAGGTCTGTCTGCCTCCTGCTCTCTTGCCGGTTGGCAGGTGGAATAAAGTTGAAGTCTGTGTAGTCGCTTCCCTTCATCGTGTGGCTCCATTCAGGATGTACGGCCCTGCCACCTCCCTGGGGCCCTGGGGCTCTGCGGGTTCTGTGTGGAGTTCATACAGAGGGTCCTGTCATGTGTTCTTGGGCCTTGTTGGACTTAAATTCGTACTACAGGGTGAAGATCCTACTGTTTTGTTCTGGGAACCCTTGGTACTACCCTTTCCTAGGAGAAGGTGAGCCGTGGAGTGACACCTGTGCAGGGCCCTTAAGAAGCCCAGGGTCCGCACAGGTGGGCCTACAGCTGCGTGTGAGGCCCTGCACTTTGTGTCAGGTTTTTTGTTTTTTTGGTTTTTGGCTTTTTTCCGGTACTGGGAATTGAACTCATGACCTTGTGCTTGCCAGGCAGGCGCTGTGCCACTGAGCTGAATCCCCAGCCACTTGTGTCAGGTTGTATACAGCTGAAGTGGGGATGGTGGGGCCTGCTCAGGAAGAAGACTTCCTTTGACAGATGGGCCACTGGCAGATCTCAGCCCAGTGCGCACAAAGCAGTGTGTCCTGATAAGTGCTCTGGAAGTGTAGGCTGTGTGGACTTGTAAGTGGATGCTATTCTGTGCTGAACACTGCAAATTACCCTGCCAGAATCATTAATGTGAGCCTTCTATAAACCCCACCTGAGCCTCCAGCAGAGCTAAAGCAGGTAAGGAAAGAGGCTTAGCTGAAGTACAGTTCCTAAAAGTACAGTTTTTCATTTCCCTTTTTGGATTGAACCAAGGGGTGTTCGACCTCTTAAGCCAGAACCCTGGGCTTTTGTTGAGACGGTGTCTTCAAGTTGCCTAGGCTGGCTTCATATTTGGAATCCTTCTGCCTCAGCCTCCCAAGCAGCTAGGGTTACAGGCATGGACTGCTGTACCAGGCTCGTAAAATTGGAATTGTAATCAAACTCAGCCTCAGCAAGCAAGCAGTAGTTATTGATGTTGATATCAGGCATACTGAAAAGAGCAGAAAACATGCTTGAGTTTTAATAAGGAGTGTTAAAAAAAAAATACGGTAGTGACAGGTACCCTGGAGTTTGAATTATGGACCAAGATTCGTCAGAGTGCCTCTTGCAGACCTGCAGCCCAGGCCAGCAGGATGAACTGGATCGTGCAAGTGGTACTGTCACTCATTCTGTCCTCACAGCCACCATGAGATAACATCCCTACCTTAATATGTTTGCCATGCAAAGCTCCAGTCTTTTTTTTTTTTTTTTTTGAGACAGGGTCTCACTATGTAGTAGTGCAGGCTGGCCTCCAACTCATGGCAATCCTCTTGCCTCAGCCTCCTGAGTGCTGGGATTATAGATACGCACCACCATCTCCAGCTGTATGCCAAATAGTGGAGAAAGAGGTGAGGTGCTCTTGGTGACTATGAAAAAACGATTGCTGCCCTAACAGCTTTTCTCTGGTGTTGAAACAGTATGGAGAAAATAGCATTTCTTAGTGGGTACTTAGGCCTGAGAGGTCAGGGAAGACTGGAGCTGCACATTTTAATGAGAAGCAACAGCCATGCCAGGCTGCGAAGTTCTTTCCAGTCTTGCCACAAGAGCGCCAGCTGCGCTTCGAGTGAGTCCTCAGTGCCCTTTGAAAAGGTTCCAGGCCTTCCCTTAACAGGTGCTATATTCTGTCCAGATAAATTGCATGTGAGCTGACACAACACCACTGTGACAAATGACAAACATGGTCCCTTAACCTATCACTTTTTTTTGGTCTTTGAGACAAGGTCTCGCTGTGTAGTTCAGGCTGGCCTTGAGCTCACTTTGTAGCCCAGGCTGGTGTCGAACTCCAGTCCTCCTGCCTCAGCCTCCCGAGTGCTGGGATTACAGGCGTGCCCCACCATCCCCAGTTTAACCTGTTACTTCTTAAAAGCATATTTTGTATTTTTTTCTGAGGCAGACGGAGTTAAAAGCAGTTTTGCTACAATCTGTTAACACTTCAGTTGGGCCTACAGATAGGTAACTGTAAGCAAAAGAACAGAGCTCAGGCATCCTGTAAAACTGGGTCAAACCTTCAACTGTGCATGGAGCCGTGTTAGTCATTTAGGAAATATCAGTCTAAAAGTTGACAAAACAAGCCAGCTATGGCGCACGCCTATAAATCCCAGCACTCGAATCTGAGGCAGGAGGACTGCTATAAGTTTGAGACCAGCCTGAGCTACAAAGCGGGACTCAAAGAAACCAAAATTAAAAAAATAAAAACAATAATAAAAGTTGACAAGATAAAGTTTATTAGCTCTAAATTTACCTAGCCTAACTCAGCACCCTTCAAGATAGGACACCAAGATAAGAAATTGTGACATTCAGCTGTGTCCAGAACTTCCAGACTTAAGCCGAGGGCACCTTGGGTCCCCACAGAGCCTCACATGACTAAAACTGCGCATGAGGCCATGAGGATTCCTCTCTGAAGCCAGGACTGAGCTCATGACGTACTGAACCCCAACCCTCCATGGCACCCCCCGAAAGCTGGGGGACTCCTTTTGCAAATGGACCTGTCTGATCTCTTCATCAGAGTGTGCACCTTTATTTTTCTTAACTTCCCAGTTAAAGCTCTTGCCTGGAAATTCACATTGTTCCTCTCATGTTCGTTTCCATTGCTACCAAAGCCACCCGGGACAATGCAGGGCCATGCACCACCCTGGCAGCACCCTTGATCATGTGCACACCTGCGCCATGCACACTGTCGAAGAACTTGGATTCCAGGCCCCACCTCCTAACTGTGCGGAGCAGGAGGACCTAGAGGCTGCAGATGTCCAATGGGGAACTAAATCCAGGGTGAAGTTTCTGTCTGTTACCTTAAAACTGGGTCTAATCTTTGCTCAGCTCCGTACATGGGCATGTAAATCACTTAAGGAGTGCCTGGGGACCCTAAATTTGCCTAGCCTATCTCTTAAAGACTGAGGCCACCAAGAGAAGAGTAACTAATTTCCAGGACTTGCAAGGACACCCAATTGCCAGCTTTTACATCCCAGCCCCTGGGAGTAATGCTAAGAGTATGAAAACTTTATTGAGAAAGAAATCTCCTGAGAGACAGGAGGGGACTCCAAAGTGGGTTGCAGAGCCCAGTGTGGTGGCACACGCTGTAATCCCAGCACTCAGGAGGCTGAGGCAGGAGGATGGTTCCAAGTTTGAGACAGCCTGGGCTACAAAGTGAGCTCAAGGCCAGCCTGAACTGCACAGTGAGACGCTGTCTCAAAAAGACCAAAAAA